TTAGTATGCAGATGAACTACTGTATATGGAATTCCATTTTTCAGCAAGATCGCAACTCCACCACAAGCCCGCTGTGCATTTGCCACGTCCTTACGTAAGATATCAAATCCTCTCAGAGAATACGCTTGTCCAGTTCTCAGGTGGGTCTCTTGGAGACAGACACAGATCGGGTTATGTTTTTGTACTAGTAAACGAAGGTCACAATACTTTTGTACAATACCACGGCAATTCCACTGAATAAAATTGTTCATTAAGGTTACTTAAAACTAAAATATATAAATATACGAGTACTACACAAAAACATAGATAAAATATTGTATAAACAGATAGAATTGCGGACAAAATAGACATATAATATCACATAGAGAGGTACTAAATATAAATAAGACGGATCTGTTTTATCACAAACGTATATCACAGATTTTATTTTTTTATCTCGAAGTATCACAAGAGGTTCTCGAAGTATCACAAGAAATATCACAGCTTGCTTCCGATTCCGATTTACTGGGAGGCTTTCTCGGCTTACCCTTAGGCCACCCTGGCTTTTTCTTTTTCGGGTTCTTTGCCTCCTCTAACGCCTTTTCATCCACAGATTCAACGCTAGAGGTTGTAGATGTCATTCTCCTTAGCGTTGTTTTGCGTTTTGCGCCTCATATTAATTCAATTATTGAAGTGTTGTACAAATATTCCCAACAATCATATTAATTCGTGCTGTTAAAATCGGAAAGCATTATTTAAAATGATTGTTGAATTAAAATGTTACATGAATTAAAATGTTCGTTGATAATTTTAATTCGTATCTGTGATTGTGCGGAAGTTTCAGGAACTACAGTTTAGTGTATTTGACTACGTGTATACTAGCGCCTAATTAAAATTATCAACAAACATTTTAATTCATGTAACACTTTAATTCAACAATCATATTAATTCAACAATCATTTTAAAAGATTCTTTTACTACGTCTAACAATAAAAATTTATTTGTTTGTTGAATTAAAGTGATTGTTTAAAATATTCGGCTTCAATTTTCAAATCGTCGAATTTATATGACTGATGAATTAAAATGTTTGTTGATAATTTTAATTCCACATTTAAAATGAATGAATTTTTATGTTTGTTGGACAAAATCGTTTTATTAATCGAAGAATTTCTTGCAATTCAATTTAATTGTTTGTTATTAATTGTTTGTTGAAATACAGTTTCATATACACTCATTCAATATAACAATATAATTCATTTCACATTTTTATTAAGTAACACTTTTTAAACAATCATATTTAATACGTAAGACAATAACAATAAACGTAAAAAGTAGAGGCATACGATTGACTGTTATTTAAAATGGCACATTGTAAAATTTTGGAATAAAATTGTACAAATATTTTCAGAGAACATTTTAATTCAACAATCATATCAATTCATGCTGTTAAAATCGGCAAGAATTATTTAAAGTGATTGTTGAATTAAAATGTTACATTAATTAAAATGATTGTTGATAATTTTAATTCGTATCTCTGATTGTGCGGAAGTTTCAGAAACTACAGTTTAGTCTATTTGACTACGTGTATACTAGCGCCTAATTAAAATTATCAACAAACATTTTAATTCATGTATCATCTTTATTAATCAACATTTTTTTAATCATCTCTTAATACGTAAGATAAAAACAACAAACGAAAAATTTAGAGACATAAGATTGACTGTTATTTAAAATGATACATGATAAAATGTTGGTATAAATACTAAAACGGCGTTCCATACGTCATCCAGTTTGTCTCTTCAAAGATTACATTAATTATTCTTTGATAACATGTACGAATATTAAATAAAGAATTATTATGGCAAAAATTCGTTAAGCCGATTGTGAGCAAGAGGCGAAGAATGCACTTTCAAATTTGTTTTTTCGATTTTAATAGCCCTAATGGACATTTCATGCCTTAACGAGATTAAAAACCTGAAATAATTGTTAGTTTCTGATCGAATGAC